GCCAGCAATATTTCTAAGGCATCTGTGGTCAAATACTAGTAGCTTACGGGTGTCTTCTACTCTTGAGGGCCATGTTTCGCTGCCGTAAATTAAAACAGAACGGACTGCCGCGCAGTATACTCGTCCTTTTATTGATAGACGGATATCTCGCCTCCGCCAAAGGTGACGTAAGTTGGCAAAAGCCAAACGAGCTTTACGAATCCGTGCTGAGATTTCGTCAGACACCAACCCATTAGGGCTGATCAGACTTCCAAGATAAGTGAAGTTGTCAACGCGTTCGACTACTTCACTCCCTATCCTTAGTTCAGGTGTTGACGCAGACCAGTCCTGAAGCAACAACTTGCATTTAGAGGGAGAGAAGCGCATCCCAAACATTCTGGCATTGTTGCTTAGTGCTACCAGAAGACTCTGCATTTTGTCAGCGTCTTCACCAAACAGGACTATGTCATCTGCGTATTCTAAGTCGATAAGTGGACCTCCTGGAAGGAGATCAATACCCGAGAATTCAGTCGACGAGAGTGTTATTTCCATCAATAGGTCTATGATGAAGTTAAACAAAAATGGAGAAAGTGGGCAGCCTTGACGGACACCACTTGAGGTTGCAAAAGTAGATGACAGTTCGCCATAAGCCCTGACTCGACTAGTAGTGTTCGAGTAAAGAGCCTTCACAAGGTTTATGTACTTCTGAGGTACGCCTTTCAATGACAGACACTGCCACAGAATCTCGCGGTCTACAGAGTCAAATGCTGCTTTTAAGTCAAGAAAGACCACCATCGTCGGACGCCGATAGTATGCCTGTGTTCTAGAACCTGACGAATGGTGAATATGTGGTCGATGCAGCCACGACCAGGTCTAAAGCCAGCTTGGTTCTCTCGTGTTTGTAGTTCACGAGTCTTAGTTAGGCGTTTGATAATTATCGAGGCCAGTATTTTAGATACTATGTTTGTTAAACTAATCCCTCTGTGGTTGTCACAGGATGATTTTGACCCTTTCTTATATATTGGGACGATAAGTGATTGCGACCAGTCAGATGGGATAACGTCTAATTCCCAGATCTTAGCTAAAATATTAGTCAACCTAATCGCTAAAATTGGACCACCATCCTTAAAGACCTCTGGAGCCAATCCATCTGGACCAGCTGCCCTTCCTCGTTTCAGATTAACTATAGCCTTCTCAACTTCAGCAAGAGTTGGGGGACCTACTTCAATGTTCCATTCACATTGTCTGGGAATGGAGGGTAGTTGTAGAGTAGCTGAAGGCCAGCTGAACTGTTCTCTAAAATGTTCCGCCCATCGTTCTAAACGTCTGGACTGGGAGCAGATGAGAGTATCATCTTTTTCCGAAATAATCTCACTTACACTTGACTTATTAATTCCAGTTTCTTTTATTAGTCTGTAAAGCTGTCTTGTGTTCCCTATAGTCGCCGCCTTTTCCATCTCTTTTGCTTTCGTTACCCACCACTGCTCACGGTCGTTCCTTAGACTTTTTCTTAACCTAGATCTGATTTGTTTACGCTCTTCATCATGTTCAGAACCTGATGGGACGAGTTTGCGAGAATCCATCAGTGTGACAGACCTTGAAGAAATCCACTGGTTCCTTGTAACTCTGTGGTTTAAGTCACTAATAGATGTCACTGCTGTTTCCACAGCTGATTGTATGCCCTTCCAAGCAACATCTGGGTCAGCCTCGTCTTCACAACTACCTAAGTGTGACCTCAGTTGTTCCTGGAACCTACTTTTGGTTTTCTCGTTACTCAACTCAGTTCTAATGGGTCTTTTTAATGTGGCTTTTTTGCGTCCAGTGAGGCGCAAGCAGATGCGTGCCCGTATTAGGGCATGGTCGGAGTCCAAGCAGGTACTCCAGAATGAGCGACAATCTTCTACCGACCCTCTCCAACGATGACTGATGGCAATATGGTCTATTTGAGTCCATCGTTGGTTTGGTGTAGGGGGTCGCCATGTTAGACGATGTCTCTCCTTATGCTTAAAATTTGTGTTTGCTAAAAATAAACGATTGTCTGAGCATAGCTGCAGCAGACGATCACCATTATCTGTTCGCTGTGTCGGAATACTAAAATATCCACCTAAATGCCTTTCTGTTTGGTTTAAACTGCCTATCTGAGCATTAAAATCACCTGCTACGAGTACTATGTCTGAGCGTTTAGCTTTCTGAAGAAGTTCGGACAGCTTTCTGTAAAATTCATCTTTCACTTCATCTGAGCTGCAGTCAGTGGGAGCGTAGGCAGAAACGACAAAAAGGCAACGACGTGTGTCCCTATCCTTCCGAGTTCTTACGTAGCCGTTCAGCCGAACAGCACATAGACGACTGTTGACGGGGATCCACTCTAGCAGTGCTTGTTCGGCCCTCATGCTTAGTGCTATGCCTACACCTGCCAGTCCACGAGAACTTGCCATCGGGTCACCAGATACACGAAGGGTGTATCTCGTTGGCTCTCCGTTTGCCGAGGTGAGGTCAAGTGAATGACCACACTGGAATCCTGTATGCGTGTTTCGGAGACACAGCACACGTCAATGGAAAGAGACTCTAGGGTTTTAGCCAAGGAAGCCTGCTGACCGATTTGACATAGGGTGCGTACGTTGAAGGCTCCAATGTGTAGTTTGGAGCGAGGTTTCAGTAGACCTGGGACAGTGTTTTGCGCACTAGAATCGTTGGCTATGGTGACACTTGAGGTGGAAGCCGAGAGGGGAAATTTAGAGTTGAAAGTCGATGTAGGAGGAATAATAGGAATTGAAGAGGAGGTTGATTATGAATACAGTGGTCTTGAGTGCTGTTAGAAGTATGAGGGCGGTTATCACTTCCCGGTTGCCCACACCGTGGAAGGGTTGTTCTGGAGGTACCTGAAAAGGAAATTGGATTAGGGTGGTCTTAGTGACCTGAGAGCGTGACCGCAGTGCCCAAGGGACAACTGCTTGAGGTCGGTCACACACGACCTTGTTATGGGTAATTTTTGTGTTAGCTCCGTACTTATTGAGACCTTACCGCCGGAGACGGATATCCGTGGGATAAGGCGAGGTGTGCATTTTTAGGGTCGACCTTTTCTAACCCCACCCCTCCTTGTGGGAAGGCAGCATCGCTGTCATGCTGGTTGTCTGAAGGAAACACCTTACTGCTGTCACACCTCTGTACAGTCAGCAGTACGACTTCGCCTTCGGACCTTGGGTTTGTTGCTTTTAGTCTTACCGCTCTTCAACCGACCTGTCTGACATGGTAGGACCTTGAGGAACGGTTGTTCCAGCCAGTATAGCTCGGTTGCTTCATCACGATAGGCAAGCCCGATCACCACGTCAAGGTAGCAACGGTCGGGATAGTTTGAGGTTACCGAACTATAACTATGAGATATGCTTAGTGGATTCAAATGGCAAACAATTGAATCGTTATCAGGAAGCGCGTCCACCTAACTATTTGAAGTTAAAATGAAACTTACGTATTGACCAGCTAAATTACACACCTGGTAATAGGGGTCTTTCAAAGCAATCCAACTCGTCCTATCACGAAGTGAACGATGACAATGTCAGATACAGGGTGTCCGGGGAAGATGGAAAGTCGATTGATAAGGTCGTGGGTCGTTATCTGTGATTGGAACGTTTCAAAACCAGCCATATTCATATACCTAGTTTATACTACTGCTACCGATACGTCTATAATGGGATTTGTCTTGAAGTAATCCCAACACATTGTGCAAATGCGGCTTATGACTAACTTACTAAAATCCCATCATATAGTCTATACACAACATTAGCGAACAGGAAGTAAATATTCATGAAGGTAAATGGATATGTTGCAGACTGCCATGTAGTGGAGAAACAAAAATACTTCCTAAAACAGGATTACACCTGCTTGGATTCAACTCTGTATGTTACACAGTCGATAATTTGACTAACATATTTAGGAGAAAAACAGATTCTATTGTACTCAAACCTAAACTCATGACCTGTACATTTGGTAAGTAACGATGGAAACACACAAACATAATGAAAGACATACCAACTTCGATCAAGTGTTCTTTCCGATCCTAAGAATGTATTTGTTATAATATTGAATGAACAAATGAAGAGGAAATTGTTCATAAAAACCAACAACTCTGGCGTCCTTAGGACATGTGGTGATACTATCAATATTGTGAGGTTACACCATTGTCTCTTAACATGCAAAATAGTCAATGAATACGGAAGCAACTAAAACCAGAAATCAATACATTGCGATTATATAGATACATACATTTCATTTTATGTGAGAAATGAATCAACATTAGTTCAGTGCACAAATAGATCATTGTTACATTAAAATGACGGGGAGGAAATGTAGATAGTATTTTAAAGAAGAAGAGCATTCAATCGGTTGAAATGTAATGTTAGACTTGACAACAAAATCACAAAATGATGATGGTATATGCATTTTGAATTGTGTAACGCTTATACTTTTAAAAATGATAATATGTAAAGAGAGAAAGCTTGAAGAGCCACTTTTTATTTGGTATACGTGTAAGTAAAAAAAATAGGGAGAATAAGAATAGTGAGAACAGAAAAAATACAGAGAATAAGGATTGATGATACATAATCAGAACATATCTGCATACGCTTTCCATGTTTTGCAGACATACAGATACCAGCAACCATGTTTTCAACATGGTGCAACAGCATAAAACACAACAGGAGTGTGTTTAAGACGAAAGATCTTCTCAATGCTTGTATTGATATGCTTATAACCACATACAAACTGTAAAAATAACATAGTACATAATCCTATTTATCGTATCACAGTAAATCTTTAATTGACCAAAAAATATCTAATCCAAACTCTAACCAACAAAATATGTTGCTGACTAGGATCACTTTCATCAAGGTCGGGAATTTGTAAACAGACAGACGAATACATACAGATAATGCGAAACATTATAACATGATTGATTCAACAATACAATCCATATTATTTATGTTACTGACTTGTATTGATTTGTTATCAGTAGAGTGAGTTAGAAACTATAACTTATGATTTCGTTGTAAATTAGTGCTTAGTTCTTCTTCTTGTCTTAGATCACGGCGCCATAGTGTCACTTTATCTGTGAAAATAGAAAAAAATTTTCTGACGAGGTAATCGAGAAAGGATGATAATGATAATTAGAGATGAAATACTCTTTCATCAAATGAAAGCTTTAATGTAAATTAGAAATGATTAGGGATTTCCAGGCACTTTATTGTTTGTTTGTTTTCTCTCTCTTGCAAAAACAATGTCATCAAACATGTTTGATACTTTAATCTCACATATAACTAGTTGTATAATAAAGATACATTATTGAATAATAAATTCACTTGATATTGTTTTACTTGAATCTGCCTATTGATGTTTACGACTGCAATTGATCAGTCTCTTATTATTGGTATATGCGCATGTACGCTTCGTCCTATTTAAGACTCGTCAGCTGGATGTACCTGGCATCCCAGGATTGATGTTCACTCTGGGACTAGAATAAATTACCGTTCGCTTCAAACGCCATCGCGTTATCCACTTGCTCGTACAATGGGGTGAAGTTGATGATTAACACTGAAACTAATCAGTCTCTTATTGGCATATGTGCATATTGCTTTGATTCAAAAGTATTTGACGTCTGAAGCGAACAGTACTGGGTTCAAGCCCCGGATTGAATATAAACTCTGAGATACAGATACATCCAGCTGACGAGTCCCAAATAGGACGAAGTGGCGAGCATCCTGTATTTCACTGCTATCCACTACCCATTTTTGGTTATAATTATTGAATAATAGTTATCATATTTCGACTACAGTTATACTTTATTTGTATAGAGGCCTATTTGTATTACTGAATGATTTTGTAAATTGTAAATATGTACAATTGTTAGAATAGAATCTACATTAATTCACTGAGTGAAAAAAATTGTATGTCATAACGATTGCTTCACTTGTAGAACTAGTCAGTGGTAGAATTATCAAATTTGAACAAAGTTGATTAGATGTTTAATTTCGTTTTCAGATAAACAACACAACACAGTTTGAATTTTCTCCATTTGTTGATATCATAGACTGTATTCAATCAGCCTTTATTGTAAAACAATAAGTTATTTAGGTAGTAACTTATACGACAAACTGATTGCCGATGAGTAAATGTCGTTATATTTTTTTGAACTGGGTTGTGTAGATGTGGTGCTGAAGAGTAACTAATGAACAAATAGACAGATCTAGTTGACTACTAAATTTATGATCTTCTTTCCTCATATTGAATTCGACTCTGAACTAACTCATCACTGAGTGTAAACTGCTTGTAATTGTACTGAGTAAAATATTGTCTCATTTATACTCTGATTCTCTATATTTGGTCTTAAGTCGCGCATTCTGTAGAACAAGAGCCCAATCTGTTCACAACCTATCAATCGGAGTATCCAGTTCAGGGTAGTAGAATCCGTTATATCTCGACAAGAATAATGAATGGTAACTTTTGAGATCCATTTATGGACTAATACTATACATATATATATTTATCATATAATTGATAAATAACTCAACTATTCATAATCGTGTTCCTCTTATCATAAGCTTTATTTTGACCCATAGACTATCATTATATGATTTGCCATTGTTAAGCTATACCCAGTCTATCAATTACTGTCTCCCACATTCACAACCACATTTGGCTAAATCTTGTACAAATGTTATTTTCTATTTGGCGGTACGATGTGGTCTGTTTGGTTGGTATATAAATCCAGTATGTTTGAAATAAATGATTCATATCACAGAGGCTGAGATTGGTGTTCTTGACTTAACAAGTAGGGCCAGGCTGGAAGCAGGACCGATAAGGACTGTAGACTGCCCGTACAGGTTTTATGCGTCATTGGTTCAATCGATAATTCACTGCTCTCTAATTGGCGGTATTATTACGTTATACATTGATAGGGGTACAAACCCACAAGTTATAACACAATCTTAAGTTCACAAGTTCTACTATTGAATTAAACAGAATTTATCTTCATTCAACCGTTATATCAGATGCATTAATTAACGCCAACTTCAAACTTACGTGCATAGTTCATTTCTACTTATTTTCAAAGATAATATTTATGTTTATGCAACAATGACAGTGCTGTCAGTCAGTCAGATACAACGTAGGACCAGGCACATATATGCATCAGTCCAAGTTGCCATACCTCAATAGCACAACAAGACGAACATCGGATTCATAGAAGTGGTTAATTCAATAGTGGTAATATATAAAAGAAAGATTGCATATAAGGGAGAAAGATATAAAGCGATTTCAATCCCATAGTTTAAAGGAAGATAGAGAGTGTATATACACCGACACCATTGTGATCGATTCTGAGCCATGTCGCTTAAAGTCTCCAACCATTGGTTACGATAGTCACGTGGACCCCCAACCAAGTAGTCTGCATCTCCCAACATGACTCAGACCAGAAGTTAGTGACTTCATTGACTGATGCCACGTTTTGGTTTGGCCACCCCTAACTTTTTCCCAACCGTCTCCAACACTAGTGAGCATTGTGCGTCGTGGTAATCGGTGTTCAGACATACGTAAAAGTGCTATAGTATCACTAATAGAAATAATGATAATAATAAACTGACTTCTAAAAAAATTATCAATATTATTAACTTACCTTTTAAAGAGGATAAAATTTTAATTTGTTTGCTAAGTAGATATTCTAAACGAGCACTATATTCTGTTACAGGAAAATAATAAACAATAAAGAGAGTGAGAGTAACAACTGATTTTACAACATAACACAAATTAATTTTCATGGTAACACAACAACCAATAACAAAATGATCAACTTGGACCGATGCACATATGTGCCTAGTCCTATGTTGTAGCTAACTGATTGACAATAGTAAATCATAGAAACGAATAATATAATAGTCTATTCATAACGGTACAATGAATAGGACATGAATCAGTAAGAAAATGGTTAGTTTATATGATCTATTCACTAGTAAGCAAACAGACATTGGTGAAATTTAAACATATAACTAATAAATGGTTCAACAAGGGTGATAACAAATTCATATAATCACGGGGAGCAATGAATGGTAAAACAAAAAAATAAATCTTAGAAATGAGAAAATTTAGAAAAGGTTGATAATGGCATCACTAAAGTATCAAGACAGTGGTTAAGATTTGTGGCTAATGTGGGTGATTTTTGTTCAGAAGTAGAATAAAAGCAACTTAAAAGAGAACTAAACTACGCTGACATTATAACAATGTGCCTGTACATCCGACAGTGATTGTTTACGAACTTGTGATTCGATAATAAGATTACCGATCTTACTGATTAAACTTAAACTCTTGAAACATTTGTCTGATTGCAAATCACAAAACGATTATGAGAAAGCTGAAGTGGGATGATATAGAAAATATTAAAGTCGAAATAAAAAAGTAGCTGAAAGGCAAGAGTTTTGAGGACTTCCATGAATATTTCAAATAACGGAAACGAAGACCGAATAAGTATATTTTCACAAACACGCAGTACTTTCTGAACACTGATATCTCCTAAATCTTGTGAAATTAAGTTCAGATTATGACGGCTAACGTACTTATGGAACCGATTCACAGTCGACAAAGAGTAATGCGAACATGAAAACTGAGTAATAAACGACAACCACAGAAAACAAAGAAGCAATAAATAGTCGTTTCGTTCTAGCCCAAGAAATCTCAATTTGCGGTCGTGCAGTAATCCAGATTTATAGAAGTTAGAAATGTAAATCACTGGGTGGCGACTCAGTGATGAAGTGAGGTGCTCACTGCGAGAAGCCTGAGTTCAATAGCTGGTGGAGTTGAGGTGTATGCTACTTATATCGACAGACATAAGTAACATGTAACACAAATCGGAAGTGGAAAACCTAGCAGCAGAGAATTGAGATGATCGAATCGAAGAGAACGAGAACAGAGATTAATTGTTATGTCACTGAAGGAACGATGAAGTTTAAAACAATTGATGGATGATTCACGAAAGAAGTATTGAAAGTATGATTTCCACATTTTGTATAAAAATACGAGGGGTTATTCCCGCCTGTGTTCTTGTTCACAACAAAGTCACCGAATGCACATCGCTGATGGACGAAAAAAGCCATCTAATGCTTTCTGATTTTCAATAATTGTCTAAGTTCTATGAAGTATGTTATAGAAAATAACAATCTCCACAAATCTCCTGTACTAAAAATCAATACAATCGGAATACATAGATTTAGAAATTTACACATAAAACTAACCTTCAACATCGAATTCCACTTGATTTGATATTTTGTATAAAGAATAATGTTCTTTAGTCCAATCGCTCATAGACTATGAAAATAAAATAATGAAATAATCAGATATAAAATTATTCGAAAATTAGAAAAGTTTATACGGGTATTTAAATGTATAAAACATGATTCACCATTGAACATTAAACTAAGAAGTAAGATAATAAGACTAATCACGTTATGTCAGATCCAGGATTTACAACTCAGAATAAAAAAGTAGATTAATATTAGATAATAATATATTCAATACAATTACAAATCGTCACACTCAGTGAGTCCAGTGTAGAGATATTCAATGAAAGGAAAGGAGATCACATATTTAATAATCTTTAAGCTGTGGCTATTTCTCCACGCTCAACCACTACTACACATCAGTAGTTTAAGCATTCGGCTTTTAAACAATCATTGGAAGATTGAATTCAGCAGCGTATAAAATATGGCTCAGAACAAAGCACATAAATAAGTCTCACATGATGTCGAAATCCATGACACCACAGAAAATAACACAGAGAAACCGTAGTTATTAAAGAATGAATTGATTATGTGAAATAATTCAAGCAACAAATGAACCAATTATCGTTGTCTTATGGCCGCTGAGACTCAAATCAACATGGCCAGTCGCTAATCAGAATCCTGATTCTAATTAGGTCCGTTCCGCACATCCTATTTCCTTGATAGCACAAGTGTCCATGAATTGCACAAATACACGCCCAACCAGCAGAATCGACGAGCTGGCAACTAAGTTTCTCATAGGTCAGCAATTCTCTAGTACCTCTCTACAACCGACCTTAAGTTCAGAAGTACAATCCAGCCTCTACTATACTTATATTTCAAACAGCCGTGACTTATATACAGACATACCAGATCACATTACATCATATAATGAAAAATAAAAATACAAAATTGGCTATGAATAGGGGAGATTGTAAATAATAGGCTGGCAACAAATTAAGAATAGTAAATTGTACAACAGTAGTTAATAAATCAACTGAAAGCTTGTGATAAATGGAATATATGTACATAATAATCTAATCACTTATTGATTATACAACAAAATTACGATTAATAATAATAATAATAATAATTTGAAAAAACCAGTTCCAATTTCTAAACTGTTACTTTCATCATACCAGTTATAATTTGCTTTTGATTTACTACCCATTGAAATATTATAAATATATATTATAACATAGGTACATTTTGTGCATTCAATATGCACTAGACTTTCTAAATAACAGTCACAGCAATGTATAGGGAATTGAAAACTGCAATTAGGAAAACATGATTACTTCAAGTGTATTTTGCAAGACATTGTAATATTCCAAATTTTAACTTTGTAATCTATGGGCTACTACCCTATGAGATTTGTTGTGTTGCAAGTTATAGTTCGTAGATATATGAATAACTTGGTCTGAAGTGGCACTTTGTGAGTATACAAAAAGATTACATTATGAAAACTCTGAGTTTGTAAAACAATACAATTGACCACTACCTTAAGATTGCCAACTTAAATTCCGAAAAATTACTTATATACTATATTTAATCTAAATGTAGACATGTTCAAGGCAATTTTAGACTCTGGCAAGGTTTGTCATTGAAAAGTGTACTGAAATACATAAACCTTGCGAAGGCCCTTCAATCGGAAACTATTGACTGATTTAAAGCTTATGGTGAATTGTTACTGGCATTGTTAGCCTCAAATAGTGTTCGACAGGTTTATCAACTGGCCTTTATTTTATTGAACTTTGCCGTAGATGCCGTCCGAGAAATTACACTTTCTTCAGGAACTGGTCTTTTCAGGAGATTTACTTATCGTTTCAGGATATCGAGACGAAATAGTTCTTTATGTCAGAGATTCCGAGGAAATGCAGTTAGTCTGTTCATTATCTTGATCAACAATCCAAGAATATTTGAGACTGCCCTATATCAAAGCTTAAACAAATAACGAGTGAATCGGTTGAGTGCGCCGAACTCTTATCTTGAAATTCTCATCAGTCTTGGTGGGTTCGGTAGCAGACGAAACTTAAGGACGATTCAGAAAGTTCAGGTGCCTAACCACCATTTGACACGACTGGAGTACAACCATAAACAGGAAGAGAGGGAGAAGTTTTTGATGGACGAACAAAACATCCAGCTCAGAGAACAAAACTCCATCAAGCTCATCAACCTGAGCTACAAATCTTCTCCACCATCTCAGGAAGAAGTTTGAAATGTAATATAATTTGGAATAAACCATTGACTGTGTGATGACAAGAATTCGATTTCATGGAAGATAAAGCTCAATATATGAAGTAAAATACCTCAGACTTAATCCAAATGCATCGTCGCACGATATTTCCCTTCAATTGTTAGCTAATTCATTCCTCTACGGTGATTCGACACGGCGTATACCGCATGGATGTTAAACAGTTGGAAATGGTATTCCTTATAGAATTCCAACTCACCCCACTCCTTCTTGACTACTGATACGCCTTACTGACTATTGCAAGGTGACAGGAAACCAGATTACACAAAGTTTCATGTCGATTCCTTAAAACCATTTATATTTATATATCAGAAGGGGTTTTGCGGAGATTGTAGCAATTTCAACAGTTGAGATCATGAGTCAATTGAAGCTAGACCACCATGGAAAACCTGGAAGCACTTTACGGCCGTCTCGTCCTATTGTGGGTCAGTTGTGAGATATTAACTCACTGATGACAATGGTGGATGTGTCACTCAATTTCGTGGATTAGTTGAAGTTAGACATTAACACCGTTGGATACCGGCTCAGTGGTCTAGCTGGTTAAGCGCCTGGCGCGAAACTGACAGGTCCTGGGTTCGAATCCCGCGAGGCTGGGTCGTGGATGCGCATTGCTGGAGTCCCACAATAGGACGAAACGGCCGTTCAGTGCTTACATGTCTTCCATGACGATCTAGCTTTAATTGAATCATGATCTCAATTGTTGAAATATTTATATATCCCTATAAAACCATTTTTTTTACACAAAAGTTAAAGTTTGTAGTCAACAGAGGCAAAACAAAATTGCTTACATGACAAACAGCTTTGTGATCATCACAAATCTCCTCTTCCATACGTTCAATCTGATCGATAACTTCATGAAAATGAAGAACTTCCTCAGGTACTTCACCTTCCTATTGAAAAGAGCAAAACGAAGTACAAACAACACCTACAAAGGTAGATTTGCAATTTACTAAGATTACTAGTAAATAATCAGTATGATGAAATGTATACTATTTTAATTACATTATATTAAAGTCGGTAAACAATGAGTAGCACATGATATGGAGTCAACTGATTGCTTTATCTTCGCATGACAAGGAAAAGATAATTTCATGAAGCTAATTATAGTAGTAATGGTAGCTGCGTCACATTAAATGTTACATGCTTGGTTGTAGTAAACAATTCTCAGCATATAACATATGCAATGATTAACCTATTCAGTTTAATATCCATTCAACTCTAACATTTAAAAGGTATGTGTGTGTAAAAAGACTTTAGCAACAGTTCAGTTCAAATGATATTCTTTTTTATTGAATAATTTATATGAAACATGAACGTTTATTCATTATTTATTTAAATACAAACGTTGGTACAAGAATGCACTAAATAGACATGCACCACATAATTCATTTGATTTGTGTGAAGGCTGGGATACTACCCGGGTGCTCAAACTGAAGCAGGTAGTTTTCCTAGGGGGCCACACACAGAGCCTTTGACTTAGAGGTCTGATCCACAAGGTAGTGGAGCAACGTAAGGAAATGTAGTCTCATGGTAGTCGGCGACAAACGATTGGTTCATACGCCATTTACTCCAGCAGTACACTGGAGCCTATGTGCACCATTGGTTTGGAATCAAAGTTTTCCAACTCCCCTAGGTGGATTCTCCGTGTCCACCAACTCGGTTATATCGCTGGACATTCGCTTTTCGTCCTCTCAACTTCGTAAACAACAGTAATGCTGCAAGAAGGTAGTGAGTAGGACTTTCCTGGAAGTGGCTGTATACACGTGGTCATGTGAGAGCATTTCGAGAGGAAGAGTTGAAGCTCTCCACTCTCGGCCGTACCAGGGCATTCGGAGGCAAGCATGAACGTCATCACAAACGAATAAATGAATCAGAATTATTTTTAAAAAAACATGATAGAACCTCTTCACTGACGATTCTAGAAGATTACGAGAAGTAGTAATTAGAAAAGGATCTTTGAACAATACAAAGCAAAAGAATAGGTTTTGTTAAGGTGTGTTTATTTTTCAACAATATTAATTGGGAAAATTACGGGATATATACAATTTAAAATTAACAAACAAGTATAAAATAAAGGCAAATTTTAAACAAAAACGTACATTAGCTGATCGAAGCATAGCTAAATCACCGTCACCGCCAGCAATTGAATTAACATGATTGTTTGTTAATGTATCATTCTGCCAGTTGTTATTACTAAAATCATTATTATTGGATGAAGGGTAATAATTTTTCGACAAGATATTCCCGGTAGTACCTATAATTTTTTTTGGTGGAGAGAAAAAGATAACATATTACTAAGTTGACAAACTCACCTATATTAGTACTTGGAGGATTCCGAAAGTTGATTTGAGGAGGCACCGTGCCTCCAGCAACAGTACAATTTGAACTACGAGATGATAACTGTGGTTGATTAGTATTACCAGTTGCCGGTAGATCAGTATTACTGTTACCTATAAGAATATTTTAGTCAAATAAAAAAAGATGTAATATACCGAATAAGAAATGTAATAATTCCTAGTGAACTATAAACTTTGAGGTATATACATGCATAAGAACACATTACTCGACTCAAGGAAGCTTTTTAGGCATCAAAATTCTGGGAATAAATAGTTGAGCTCGACCAACTAGGTATTGTAATCATTGAAATAAGATTTCAAGCCTGAACACTTACAGGATGATACATGATACACTGAAAGCACAAGTGATTACTTACAAAGAATAGGAGTAGATAGAAGAACTATCTACATGTCAGTTAGTAAGTTAACAGTAACAGAAATTCTCTAAAAGTGGTCACTTGCTTACTGGTTAAATCAAGTCAACTTCCGACTAATACGTGTTAAGTTGAATAAAACCTATTGCGATGCGCCTAGCTCAGTTCAAGCTAGCGGACAATTAGTGTTGCTCAAACTCCAGACATAGTGTCTGTTTTAAAACTATACAAACGAAACTGGTATTTGGCAAGTGAGCTTTAATTCAATAATGTTAAATAACTTGTAATGAAGAGGACTTTCAAACAAAACAGAATACGTACTTGCCGACAAAGTTCCTGGTCCAAGTTCTTTCACTCTAAAAATAAAATAACATAATGCAAGAAAGTTTTTGAACATAACTAAATGCATATATATATATATATATATATATATATATATATATATATATATACGATAATATGAAATCAACAGTTCACTTGAGAAAATCATATCCATCGTAATAATGACAGTATTGCATTGCAAAACATATCACAAAAACAATAAATAAGCAACGAATATTGTAATTAAGATACAGCATTAATACAATGAGATAGGATTGCTTCAAGTCACATGCCAGAGTAGTAGACATAGTAACAGTATCAGTAGTAGAAAAATATTGATAGAAAAATAAAAAAGTGTATAGCGAGATTTCGGAACTCAGATTCTGTAGGAAAGCTAGGAATCAATGCACTTATGGTACTGCAAACGATTCTCATACATTACACTGAAAGTCACTAGTGATTAGTTAGGAAAATCACACGGACCCTGACTAGGCTAATCAACACCTGCTTACACGGCTCAGTCAAATGGTCAATCACTTCTTGGTCAGTCAGTATCAACGTAGAACTTCGTACGTACGTACATCAGTTCGAGTTGCCACACCACATTTGCACAGAGATGCAGTGGTCGATTCAAATCTCGTAGTGCTAGATGTAGTAAAATTATAAGCTGTAATAAGAAAAATTAGGGTTTGAAGATGTTATTCAAGGAGTATAATCCAGTGAAATAAATTTGGAAAAACAAAGGGACATGAAGAATTCAGAAGATTAAAATTTGGGAGAACACAAAGAGTGGATGCACCTGCGCCATTGCAAATGATTTTGAGCCATGTCATTCAGGGTCTCTAACCATTGGTTGTTATCATTTCGTGGTCCCCAACCAGGTAGTCTACACTTACCAACATGACTCAGTCCACTTGTCAGTGACTTCATGGACTTGTGCCATGTTTTGTTCTGGCCACCCCTGCCTTTCTTCCAATCTACTCCTATACAACAAAACATCGCACATCAAGGCAGTCAGTCGTTGGGCATACATAACACGTGTCCAAGCCATCTCAACTGATGAAGTTTCACTACGTCATCAATTGATTTGCCATCCTTACCTAGTACCCGTTTCCTAACAACTGCGTTACTTACTCGATGGTCCCAGGATATACGATCAATGTTTTGAAGACACCTATGATCAAATACTAGTAACCTACAAATATCCTCTACTCTTACCGGTCATGTTTCACTGCCATAAAGTAGTACGGAACGAACTGCTGCGCAGTAAACCCGTCCTTTGGTTGATAGACGGATATCTCGCCTACGCCATAAATGACGCAAGTTGGTAAAAGCTAATCGAGCCTTCTGTACCCGTGCTGAGATTTCGTCACACACCAGACCACAAGGGCTGATGAGACTTACAAGATAAGTGGAGCGGTCGACACGCCCAACTACTTCACTCCCTATCATTGGCTCGGGTGTCAATGCAACTCAATTCTGAAATAAGATTTTGCATTTCGAGAGAGAGAATCGCATTCGGAACATGCTTGCATCGTTGCTTATAGTGTGGTCAGAAGACTCTACATTTTGTCAGCGTCTTCACCAAATAAAACTATGTCATCGGCATATTGTAAGTCAACAAGTTAACCTCCCAGTAGAAGTTCAACCCCTGGAAATCTAGACGAGGAAAGTGTTATCTCTAAAAGTACGTCAACGAAAAAGTTGAACAAGAATGGAGAGAGTGGACAGCTCTGACGAACACCACTTGAGGTAATCAATTCTGATGACAGTTCGCCATAAGCTCTCACTCTACCAATTGTGTTTGAGTAGAGAGGCTGTATAAGGTTAATGTACTACTTTGGTACTCCTCTCAGTGACAAGCACTGCAATAGAACCTCACGATCAACAGAGCCGAATGCCGCCTTCAGGTCGAGAAATACTATCACTGTGGGGCGTCTGAATGTGTGTCTGTGTTCTAGAACCTGACGTAGTGTGAATATCTGATCTATACAACCACGTCCAGGTCGAAAACCAGCCTGATTTTCTCTAGTCTGCTCTTCACTAGCTTTAGTTAGGCGTCGAAGTATTATTGAAGCTAATATTTTAGATACTACATTTGTCAAACTGTGTTGTAACGGGTGGACTGCAGGTTAGATGCGCAGTGCATTATCAACCGATTCAGTGACACAGAGAAACACGTAGTGAACGGCCTAGGGTTCTGATTGGTTCCGCTTCCTTGTCTAGCCCAGCTAGTTGAGTCTAGAACGCAAATCACAGCCTCTGAGTTATGAATCATTATATTCCAGACATACTCTATTTATATACCAAACAAACAAACCACATCGTACCATAATAATAGAAAACAACATTTACACAATATTTAACGAGTGAAATAAATAATGGCCAATAGGGAATGCCCATTTAGAGTCCAAGGACATCATTAGACTTAACATGATAATGATTGGTATATTCCTCAGCATACCTAACACCTCCTCTTTTTTTGAAGATCCGGAGTTGATATCCGGATTTCTAAAATTTTCTGCGTCCGTCCTCCCCCGCGAAATAATGTTGGGTCCTCATATACCCAAGTAACAGTTAGTCTGATTCTATTTAAAGCATATTTCCCGCATTTGACAGAGGGTCCACTAGAACTGACTAGATGATGAGGATCAGCGACACTAGATATGAGGTCATTAAGGTTTGATTCTTGTGAAACATATTCATCAGACCTCTTCAAAATTCCATCAGTGGATAATAGATCACTAAAATAAACAGCATCTTTGAAATTTGTATTAGATTCCTGACCATTATTTGATGCATGGGACACATTTTCTGGCACGATGGGTTCTTCTTGTGAGCTGGATACCTCACTGTCTGTACATGTTTCGGACACAGTGGGATTTGAACCCACGACAGGGCATGCTTCTGAATTGGACATTTCTGGATCACTGGACGGATCATGAGCGACTGCCTCGTTTGCATTACTGATCATCAGGGATTCATAGAGGCTTTTGCTTTCATATTCATACGTCCTGCAGTCATTTTCGAGTTCAGTATGCAAGTGAGAAATTAATTCATCAATTTCTTTCACATCTCCGAAACACGTGTTGACTGCAGGTTTTGATAAGCAATGTTTCAGAGAGAGCCAGTTGAATGTTTTGGACAATTTACGCACGCGACTGCTAAATCTCCAATGTTTCGGAGATGTGAAAGAAATTGATGAATTAATTTCTCACTTGCATACTGAACTCGAAAATGACTGCAGGACGTATGAATATGAAAGCAAAAGCCTCTATGAATCCCTGATGATCAGTAATGCAAACGAGGCAGTCGCTCATGATCCGTCCAGTGATCCAGAAATGTCCAATTCAGAAGCATGCCCTGTCGTGGGTTCAAATCCCACTGTGTCCGAAACATGTACAGACAGTGAGGTATCCAGCTCACAAGAAGAACCCATCGTGCCAGAAAATGTGTCCCATGCATCAAATAATGGTCAGGAATCTAATACAAATTTCAAAGATGCTGTTTATTTTAGTGATCTATTATCCACTGATGGAATTTTGAAGAGGTCTGATGAATATGTTTCACAAGAATCAAACCTTAATGACCTCATATCTAGTGTCGCTGATCCTCATCATCTAGTCAGTTCTAGTGGACCCTCTGTCAAATGCGGGAAATATGCTTTAAATAGAATCAGACTAACTGTTACTTGGGTATATGAGGACCCAACATTATTTCGCGGGGGAGGACGGACGCAGAAAATTTTAGAAATCCGGATATCAACTCCGGATCTTCAAAAAAAGAGGAGGTGTTAGGTATGCTGAGGAATATACCAATCATTATCATGTTAAGTCTAATGATGTCCTTGGACTCTAAATGGGCATTCCCTATTGGCCATTATTTATTTCACTCGTTAAATATTGTGTAAATGTTGTTTTCTATTATTATGGTACGATGTGGTTTGTTTGTTTGGTATATAAATAGAGTATGTCTGGAATATAATGATTCATAACTCAGAGGCTGTGATTTGCGTTCTAGACTCAACTAGCTGGGCTAGACAAGGAAGCGGAACCAATCAGAACCCTAGGCCGTTCACTACGTGTTTCTCTGTGTCACTGAATCGGTTGATAATGCACTGCGCATCTAACCTGCAGTCCACCCGTTACAACAAACTGATTCCTCTGTGATTGAGACCAGTCAGATGGGATTACGTCCAGTTCCCAAATTCTACCTAAGACCTCAGTTAATCTCACTGCTAATACTGGACCACCATCCTTAAAAATCTCAGGAGTAAACCTGTCAGGGCCTGCTGCTCTCCCTCGCTTCAGATTTCCTATGGCTTTTTCAACTTCGTAAAGAGACGGAGGACCTACATTAACTTGCCATTCAGGTTGACTGGAGATCGTGGGAAACCGAAGTGTGGCTGAAGGCCAGTTGAACTGATCCCTAAAGTGTTCTGCCCATCGATCCAATCTCCTGGATTGAGAATGTATAATATGTCCATCTTTCTCTGAGATTGTTTCGCTAACAGTCGGTTTCCTAATACCGGTTTCCTTAACAAGTCTGAACAATTGTCTGCTATTACCTATTGCCGCTGCCTTTTCCATCTCTCTTGCTTTCGCTACCCACCACTGTTCACGATCATTGCGTAGACTTCTTGTCAGCTTGCGCTTAAGCTGACTCCGCTCTTCATTATGTTCAGAGCCAGGTGGAATGAGTTTCCGAGCATCTATCAGTGAGATAGATGCTGCTGAGATCCAGTGTTGCTCCCTAACCTTCTGGTTTACCTTACTAGCAGATATCACTGCTGTTTCCACAGCTTTTCGGATATCATTCCATGCTGCCTCGGGGTGGGCATCACATACATGGCTGCCTAACTGTTTTCCTAGTTGTTCCTGAAATATACTCTTAGCTTGACTATCATTAAGTAGGCCCTAAGAGGTTTCCTTGCAGCGTCTTTCCTACGTCCAGTAAGACGCAAGCAAATACGCGCTCGCACTAGAGCATGATCTGAATCTAGCATGTGCTCCAGAATGAGCGACAGTCTTCTATCGAGCCCCTCCATCGGTGGCTGATAGCGATGTGATCTATTTGGGTCCAACGTTGGGACGAATTAGGGGGTCGCCATGTTAAAAGATGTTTTTCCTTATGCTTAAAGTTAGTATTTGCAAGGAACAGGCGGTTATCTGAGCATAGCTGCAACAGACGGTCGCCATTATCTGTTCTTTGAGCCACGACCTATAAGATCCACCTAGGTGTCTTTCCCTATCGCTTAGTTTACCTACTTGAGCATTAAAGTCACCGGCCATTATTACTACATCCGAGCGCCTAGCTTTTCGGGGAGGTCGGAGAGCTTTCTGTAAAACTCATCTTTTACATCATCTGAGCTGCAGTCAGTGGGAGAATAGGCAGAGACGACGAAGAGGCAACGACGAGTGTCCCTATCTTTCCGGATCCTTACTGTTCCGTTCAGTCGGACAGCGCACAAACGACTGTCTACTGGGATCCACTCTAAGAGAGCTAGTTCTGCCCTAGGACTCAATGCTATACCTACGCCGGCGAGGCCACGGGAAGCAGAATCAGGGCTTCCAGATACACGAAGTGTGAATCGAGTCGGTTCTTTATTTTGGCATGGTGAGGTCAAATGAATGACGCTACTCGGATCCTGTATGCGCGTTTCGGAGACGCAGCACACATCGATGGCGCGGGATTCTAAATTCTAGCTAAGGAAGCCTGCTGTCCTATTTGGCACAGTGTTCGTACGTTAAAAGCTCCTACGTGTAGTTTAGAGCGTGGTTTCAGGAGACCAGGAATGGCGTTCCGCGTACTCGAATCGTTTGCCCTAGCGGTGCGAGGTGATAAAGAGACGTGAGGAGGGTTAGTCATGGAGATAAGAGAGGTATTAGGAGGTGTAGGAAGGATTTGAATGTGACCAACTTGGTCTCGTGTGCTGTTACGGGTATGAGGGCTGATGTCACTTCCCGGCTGCCCACACCGTGGAAGGGTATTTCTTGAGGAACCTGAAAAGGAAATTGGATTAGTGTTGGTCTTGACGACCTGGGAGCGTGACCGCAGAGCCCAAGGGACAACTGCTTGAGGCCGGTCGCGCACGGCCTTTTCGTGGAAGGTTTTTAATGTGTTAGCTCCGTTCTTCAAAGGGCCTTACCGCCGGAGACGGAAATCCGTGAGGTAAGGTGAGGTGTGACATTTTTAGGGTCGACCTTTTCTAACCCCACCCCTCCTTGTGGGAAGGCAGCATCGCTGTCGATGCTGGTTGTCCGAGGGAAACACCTTACTGCTGTCACACCCCTCTACAGTCAGCAGTACGACTTCGCCCTCAGACCTTGAGTTGCTGCTTTTAGTCTTACCGTTCTCCAATCGACCTGCCTGGCATGGTAGAACCTACAGGAACATATGTTCCAGCCAATATAGCTCGGTTGGATCATCACGATAGGCAAGCCTGACCACCACGTCAAGGTAGCAGCTTCGGTCGTGTCACTCCTTGGACTAGTGTCACGGCTTGGTTCGGCCAACCCTAGCTTTTTTCCAACCTACACCTACACTAGATAACACCGCTCGTTAAAGTAGACAGTCGTTGCGCTCATCCATACGAAGACTGCGTATCAATAACGAGACTTGTACAACATGTTAGACAGTAATTACTGATGTGTCCATTACGCTTTACAGAAGTCAAAACAGCCAATAAAAAATTAATACGTTCCCAACTAGTCTTCTGTTATAAATTCTGGTTGCACAATCAAGCGGCAGTAACAAACTCTAGGGAATTAGTATATATCTCTTGAAATATTTTGCAGATCCACTATTAACATCACTGGTAAAAGTTGATACGCAATCCGTCCAATGAATAGGTCAAGTAAAGTTAACCAAACTAATGTTCGGTACATCAATCTCAATATCCATTTCAAAATACTCTGTTTGTAGCAGGATATTTGTCCTATCTCCGAATATGGAAGGTACATTGTTATTCTTTAGAATCACACAAATTAAGCTGGAACCAATTCATCAAGTGTTTAAGAAACTTTACTATTAGTCTTTCAGAAAGTCTATAACTAAGAAGCCTTAATAGTTTTGTTCATGCATTTTATGAGACAAATTATAATTTCATTATAATTGAAATTACAATTAGAATGATAAAATACTACATGTTTTTAAAAAATAACCCATGATATTAAAACAACGTGGTGACAATTCTTCAACGACAGTTAATCACATAAACATACGTATACACAGAACATGAGAAGAATCTTACCGATCAGCGTAACGTAGTGTATTTAATGTATGTTCACAGCTGGACATACCAGGTGATATCATAGCAATCATACACGTTCGAGAACGATCTCCAATAAATGAATCACGCAGTACTTGAGTTAATTTACTTGCACGAAAAGGTAGATGTGCACCACGCCGACCAAGAGCACGAATACATTCCTGCACACGGAAAAAAAAGAAAGATTTTCAGTAAAAACACTTTTCGTTGAAGCAAAGTGTTACATAGGAATTTTCACTAAACATACACATTAAAACGATCTGTAAAACCTGACAAATCATTCCTGTTGATTCATTCATTCATGTTATACAGGCCCATTATTCAGCTGATCATTTAGAGGTATATTGTTTGAGTTTGATAGTAATATGAACTTACTATTGAACATATTAGTTAAATTTGAAGTACTAACATCAAGCTTACAACCTCTCCTAACACTACCACCAACAATTGGAATACGTAAAACATAATACATAACATGAATACTGAAAGCAAGAAATCACGTAAAAATTTATTCAGGTCATCATGCAACAGGGATTAGTCAAGAAGATGAAGGGGGAGTGTTTAATCAAAGGTATTGATTAGTATTAGAAAGATACACTGATTGAGTTCCCTCAATAACAAAAAACAACTCTGTTAGCAATGAAGGAGTATTACAAGTACACTTATTAAACAAATCCTACATAATAAATGTAAGAAAAGGCATAAAATGGAATTGATAAACATCTTTGTTTGCAACGAATGCAGTTAAGTGCCATTCGAATCAATCACTATGAGTAGTGTACGTAAACTACTTAAGATAACACATGAAATATTTATGTGTTGGCATAAAGCAGTATGAATTAATGCAAGTAGATCAACTGAATTGAGCAACTTTATCCATCAAGAAGAGACAATCAATAAAACAAATTCAATCATGTACAACCAAGAAAAAGACAATAGAATAATGAAGTTAAATAATGACACATGACATAAAAATATGTAGTTTGGGAGGGACTGTGTGGGAAAACCTTTTACACAATGTGTCGCAAAACATATTTTAAGTAATATACATCAAAGGATAACACAGCCTGAAGATTATTCCCAGTCTTAAGTTCGGATAACAGAGGAGGGTTGTGTATGAGATTAGTTATCCCATCTCGTACGAAAGAACCTTGCTAAAAAAAGGCGTTAACCAGATAAATGTCACACTTTAGCATTTAAAAAACGCATTACTGATTATATAATGAGATATTTCCTACTTAGTTCATAGTTTCTATTTAGTGTCAAATATAGACACGATAATATTCATCTGAGTAACTATTAATCATATCCGGCTCAGTTGTCTACACGTCATATTCGCACGCGACGAAAAGTCCTGGGTTATACTCTCTGATGTGGGGTCGTCAATCCCCACTGCTGAGGAGTCTCATAGTAGAACGGAAAGGTCACCTAGCGCTGTCAGGCTTTTTATTGTGATCTAACTAAGATCAGTTTGTGATTCTAAATTTACATCGTTAAGGAAATATTATGCTTATGTGAATAGCATGGGAAACATGTATGTCGATTGATACTTCGACAAAAAATGGTTATACATCCAAATATGTTTACTTACATTATATCAAATCAAATCAGTTAATTATTGAGACAAAGAACTAAGTCGGTTACCATAAACTTTGAAATCCGAGTTTTCTCGTGAATTGCCGACAAGTGCTAGATAAACGCTCTACGAATATTCTTAAAATAATATTGATATCTTATACATCAAACACAAAATGTATGTTTAATTTACCTTCAAAGCTAAAAGACTTTTATTAATTTCAGCGCCTTCCATTCGAGTATGTCTATCAGAACTACTTGTATCCACACCACGTTCATTACCGGCCAAATCAATAAGTGAAAATTTACCATGAATTTTCCCCGTAGATTGTTTTTTTAAAATCAACTATATTTAGAGTAGGCAATAAACATTTTATTTAGACAATCATATGACAATTAGAAAAAGACAATAGTTATTCAGCATTTTACAACAAAAAAGACCAGTCAGTTTGTCATAAATTTCCGACTTTGTAAATCGAGCCCAGTGTATTAAGGTGTTATTTTATATGTGTACACATTTGATTGAACAAATTGAGATTGATACAAAATATATTTTCTCAAACTTTTACATTATTAGAAGATTCTTGAGCTCATTGAGTCAATCAGTCAATCAAACGTAAGATGGAAACCTAGCATATATGGGCATTGGTTTAAGTTGTCACACAACATTAGCACAATGAGATGAACTTTTCAAGAGAAATCTTAAAGAAGTAATGACAGCACCAGTGGTAGAAACGATTAGGTATCGAAGAATAAATTATAAACAAATTTTGAGACTCATGATGTAAAATACAAAGAGTGAATGTATCCACGCCACTGAAACAGAATCTCAGCTATATCATACATCTTTAACCATTCATCGTGGTTGTTGTATAGATTTAAACCAGATAGTCTGCACCAACTTAAACGGCTCAGTTCAACAGTCAGTGCCTCTATGGACTGGTGCCACGTCTATGATCAAATACTAGCAGCCTAAAAATCTACATTAACACCACTGAACCTACAGTTTATTGTTTCGATTATTGTTAAACTATTACAAATGATGATCATTTTACTGCCCAGTCACAATCAAAGTGGATAGTGCAAAAAGCTTGTATTATTTGAACATACATAAACTATACATCTGAAATGTATCGAGGTTAGTTGGATACGAGATAAATTTAAAGCCTTACGTGATGTTACAAAAATGTGTACCCAAATCTTGCTTACAGCAAGTTAATCTGAATCGGTAGCAACTGATATTTCAGAGTTCCACAGTTCTATAATAATAATGTTTCTGTTGCCAAGCAACAGAAAATATGTACCAAGTATATATATATATATATATATATATATATATATATATATATATATATATATATATATATAGCAAGAAAAGAGTAAAACTATTAAATCCTAATATGCTTTACTTGAAAGACAGCATGGGAACGACTAGAATGTTGATTAGCTGATGTCTGACCACTAGTTCGAATATGTGCACCATGCTGTAGAAGTTTTAAAACACAATCAACTGAATTCACTTCTTCTTCACGTAATCCAACTATTTGTACTTGACCTTTAGCATCTTCCAGAACTCGAAGTTTGGCTTTCTTATTTAACAAGTCAAAAACCTATTCATAAAAGTTTGAATGAAAGTAAACAAAACAAAACAATTATGTGATACGAACATTTTTTATATCCTAACGAAGAATAAATGAATGGTAACTGCTAGGTACTACTTATGGATTATTATTACGTATATTCTTATTGGATAACTATTAAGTAACTAGATTATATATATTTATATTTCTCTTATTACAAGCCTTCATTTGACCTATTGGATATTGCGGTACGATTTACCATTCTTAAGTTATTCCCAAGCTCTTAGTTACAGTCTCTTACACTTACAGCCACTTTTGGCTTGATTTCGTATAACTGTTGGGTGGTCTACTTGTGTATAAACTACGTATGTCTAAAATCCATGATTCATGTAGCGGAGGTTGAGATTATGTCCTGGAATAAAACAGACAGAGCTAGGCAACAAGAACCAATAAGGACTTAGAGTTGACTGTAGGCTGTTCGTGCTGTTTAATGCATCATTAATTTGACACAGGGCCAAGGCCGTATAAGTTGATGTTCTGATTGGTAATATCATCACATGATAGTTGACGGGCTATATGACATAACTACACTAGAAAATTGAAAATTCTCCCTCCCCAATAGCCTAATAATTAAAACGAATTCTCTATGGATATGTCAATTCATGATCAAATCGCATACAAAGAAAAAAACCTGATTTTATCGCCAAATCTCAATTTAATTGAAAACGTAACAACAACTAGTTAAAATGAGGTTATATCAAAACACCACGATTTATTGAGATCACAAATTAAACGATGATAAGCTAAAAGTCCTCTTATTACAATTAGATAGGTGAGACTATAATTTATGGAAGACCTTTGAGTGAGTCTAAAACAACTTTGAAGATATCCACCTGATTACTAGAACCAAATGAGGGTTATAAACCTGTGTGAGGAAAGAGAATTATGATTTACAGTTGATGGTTAGGATTAGGAATTACACTTAGGGTTTTCATCACAAATCGACATCATCTACTATAATGTAAAAACCCTATTTAGTCAAATGGATAAATGAATTTCGCGCCAAAATCCGAAACCTGTTTGATTGGTTGATTCGTCCATAAATTATAGTCTTGCCATTAGATAGTAATTGTAGAACAGGTTTCAATTGATATAAAAATGAAACTTTATTTTAAATAATTCATCAAATCATTTTCTTACTTTGATAATTCAGATCAAATAATGACTTGATAAAATTTACCTATACAGGATACGATTGATAAATATGCAACATTTGTGGTATTATGAATCAAGAATTTCATGTTGAAATATAAATAATGAATACTGCTAACTATATAAATATTTTCCAGTGAGCTTCGTGGATTTATTTTTATTTATTTAAACACATAAACATTGATACAAGGATATGCGCGAAATATATTATTCGATTTGTGTGAGGGCTGAGATACTGCCTGGGTGCCAAAACCGAAACAGATGGTCTAATTAGGGGGCCACACACAGAGCTTTCGACCTGAAGGTCTGGTCCACAAGGTAGTGGAACAACGTAAGGAGATGCGGTCCCATGGTAGCCGGTGACCGAGGATTGGTTCATACGCCATTTGTTCCTTCAGGATACTGGAGCCTATGTGCACCATTGGTTTAGAAACAGTTTTCCAACTCCCCTAGGTGGATTCTCCGTGTCCACCAACTCGGTTATATCGCTGGACATTCGCTTTTCGTCCTCTCAATTTCGTAAACAACAGTAATGCTGCAAGAAAATAGTGAGTAGGACTTTCCTGGAAGTGGCTATATACACGTGGTCATGTGAGAGCGTTTGGAGAAGGAGAGCTGACTCTCCCCACTCTCGGCCATACCATGGCATTTGGGGGCCATGGATTATGTGTAATTAAATTTATGTGAATTGATGGATATTGCATTATTACAATGAACCTATATATATATATATATATATATATATATATATATATATATATATATATATATATATATATATATATATATATATATATATATATATATATATATATATATATTGAGCAGTGAATACCTAAAAATTCCTGATCACCAATCCAATCTTCAACGCAGATAGGTCTCTTTATTAATCAGGGTAAATTCTATTGTAATTAAACTGTGAAATATTCATAGGATGAAAGTATTGAAACAACAAAGTATAAAACAAAGATGAAAGCAACACAAAATAAATTAATCATGGAATACAGAAACACTTGTTGTTTATCAATGTTTTACTTAAAACAGAGAAGTGCAATATCGTTTTTTTTAATCAGATAGCTAGTTCTTCATAGATAAATAAGGTGAAACATTTGAACTGAGAAATATTTTTTGTAGTTGTCAATGGATTTTAAGGTCATCAGATTATAGGATCATTCCTTTGTACGTAATACCAATAAACATAAACATTCAAATAAATATGCTTTTTGTAAACACACACACACACACAAAATGTAATTTAATCTATGAACTCAATATCTGTAGATAAGAGTTGTATACAAAACAGTTACAACCTGCATTGAAATACACTTACACTATTCTTATATAATCTTCTTTTTTATACTCCTCTACATGAATAATCTACTTGATGTTACTTTTTCTTGACCCATAGAGGTCAAGAAAATAGTCACATGGTAGTATTATACAGTTTAATATTCATCTATACAGATGTATTATGATTAATATTATGTTTATTCATAAATCAAAATGTCAAAGGTAGAGATAGAGAAACAGAGAAAGAAGTTAACAAGAATATTCACATTAATAATAATCCAAACAAAACAGAAAATCAAAATACACAGAGGAATACTGATAACATCACATTTTATGCAATAATTTCATACACAGATCGAATGAGCTAAAACGGCACAAGACCACGAATACAGCTCTTTATTGACATGTTGGTGAAAGCAAACAGATTTTCTTGCTTAGTTTATTTGGGCCTATGAGATTGAACTGTAAGACAGGAAAGCAGTTGTATTGATCTAGTCTGAGTACTGATTAGCTAGTCTAGTCTGTCTATCTGATAACAATGGCACGATAAATATGAGATAACAGCCGAGAATAATATCAAACGACCATGAGTTCAAAATTCAGTTCCCCACTCTCATTCGCCCGATGGCCAGAATAGAGAATAATTCAACAACCAAACAACCTTTAAGTATACAGTTCAAATTTACGAATCACTCATACCATAAAATTGAGCGAAATCTCAACCACAGATTAACATAATTAAGAAATTACAATGTGGGTACAGTCACGCCGTAAGAGGAAGAGGACGAAGTAATGGATTTCGAGAGGTAAAACACAAAAATTTCTGTATCTAACAAAAGCTTACAAGTAGGGGAATACAAAGATACACTAGTTTGTTTTTAAGAATTGTACAGAATTGTACAAAAAATATAAACAATAACCTCAGACAGGATTGTTCCGAACATCACTGCTTAATATTTATCTCGACATAGTAATGTAGGGTAACTGAAAGAATATTATCAACGAGTTTATTTCTCCTTCAGTGTGAAATACTCCTTTAGGAATGATCTACATACTTATTTATCTACTAAAGGGTCGGTATACTACGTGGTCCACTCTACTTTACTTTAGGCCCATGAAACGTAACCTCTGAATGTATAGCAGACTAATGAATTACTAGAGTTTGCTAACACCTTTGAAATATTTCTCTTGTACAGTGAAACAATCCTGCTTCGGTTTGGGCACCCGGGCAGTATCATAGCCCTTATACATATCAAATGAGATCTATGTGGCGCATATGTATTTAGTGTCTCCTTGTACCAATATATGTGTTAAAATAAATAAATACAGTGAAACAATTGGACTATTAAATTGAGATGTAATGTTGGTTGATAACACCACGAGTCACCATCAATTGAAGAGGTTAGGACATGTGTTACGTATTCACAACCACCAACTACTTTGACGCGAAACGATAACTTCTAAGGCAGATTGTCAAAAGTAAAAGGCACTTAAGTGAAGATGCGATGTCAATACAAGAAGTCGTCAATTGTTAACTTCGATAGTGTTGATAGATGTAGACTACGCGATAGAGGTCCCCACACGATAACTCTGACCAATCGTTGGAGACTTTAGGTAAAATGGCTCGAAATCGGTCACGGTAGTTCATTCATTCATCACCATACAAATCTTGAGTCTAGACATTGAAGCTACTGGATCCCGCCCAATTCCGCAGTCTAACGGTTAAGAGCTCACACGAGAGACTGAAAATCATGGGTTCGATTGCCTATGATGGGGTTGTGGGCATGCACTGATGAGTCCTGAAGTAGGACGAAACAGCTGTCCAGTGCTTCCATGTTTTTAATGGCGGTTTGGCTAAGACCAACTTATGATTTGGAAACTGCGAAAATCCTACAGTCTACAAATCCCCCTATACTAATAGTAATAATCTGTTTATTAGTGGCTAGCTTTAAAATGCAATCCCCGAAGTTCTAGTGAGAAGCTGTGACCAGTGGAGTTCAAACATATTTTTTGCTTAGTCTTTCAGACTATACCTAACGACATTATTTTGTTCCACCCTTTCGCCATCATCTTATCCATTTCCTATCATTATATCAGAGTGGTCTGGCAGCCTAGGCCAACATACATTTACAGCAAATTAAACATTGATTATGAATGAATGACTAAATGTAAATGAGGTGTATAAACAAGTATGCATATTATGAAAATAATGAAAAAAAGCATGGAATGAGTAACTCATATTCATTAAAAATAAGAAAAAAAGAAAAAGAGACACATACTTTCCCACTGTATATTTCGAAAAATGTTGCAACAATTCGAAGATTCTCATTCCTATACGTAGTTGTATTCAAATCGAAGACATCAGCAGCTGAACAAAAATACAATAAAATAATCATTAAGAACTCTTATCCATGTAAATAATTACAACGAAGATTTGTGGTTCATCGTTGTGGTTGCATACATGGTGCATGGATTGGTTGTATACATTCAAGATACAATTTATTTAGACAACCAGTGGTTCTGTTTTTATGTACATGTTTGATTGAGAAATGAAGTCTGAATTTGCGAACCATTATCTACTCAGTAGCTTAAATGATTATTGATTAAACCGTTTCTGTATTTGATTAATTACCTGTTGCGTTACAATACTAAAGCAATAACTGTTAGAAGAATCCCAATAATGTAATCAAAACAATCTTGAAGATTTGATGTACAATTAACTTAGCAAGCCCAAAATTGTAAGAATATCAAAGAGGATGTGTGATAAATGCGTGTGGACACTATGATAGCATTATTAAACTTCTCTTACTGTGCAATTATAGAAATGAAGAAGTCATCAAGGTGTACCTGTAAGATTGAGGAAACTGGTGCTCCCTGGCAGATATGGTCTCATGTCACCAATCTTCATAGTCATGAAAATAACCACTGAATTATTTGAGCAGCAACTGACAACCTGTAGGACTGAGGTATATTTACAACTGGTTAATCACTGATTATTTACCAATGTCAAGTTGTTCTTATAGCAGATTGGATTTAATCGAACAAGTCGCTATGCGGCTACTGGTCTAAGCTACTGGACATCATGTCTACTAGGTTGCCAATTAGCACGAAATCTAGACCAAACAGGGTTTCCTGTCAACAGCTTCCATTTACCACCTTGAATCTCAATATAGTGTACGAGATGTCACTTAGACTAGTGACCATATTGCATCTTACTTGATAGAATTCAATCAGCACTAAGAAAGAATTAATGTGCATGACATTGGTTATCACTCAGTGATCAATCAATTGTAAATGGAAATGAAGGTTCTGTTTTAAATTTATTTTACCTATGTAATTATGGATGTTAACCGCAAGTTCTCATGTAATTATCATGAGACCAATTACCAAAAAATCCATATAGAAGGATCACCCTTATCTGGGTTTTTTGAGAAATGAAAAGTAAATGAAAGGAAACTCAAGTATCAAATACATGCAACCATTTATCATGCCTTTCAGAAAATCTACTTCCATAATTACTATGGTGGGCTGAGCAGAGTACTGCAGAAACCCACTGAGTCCCTTCACAGTAACGAAATCCTCGCCAATTTTCTTTAAAATGATAAACCAATGTGCCATTAAGCGAAATAAACACAGTCTAACTATTGGCTAAGGTGATTATCATTGAAACTGATAAAACCCTACAGAAAAATATATTCACTAAGTACAATTAAGATGATTATCAATGTGAATAGCCAAAAGTTTACCTGCTAAGGCGTAAATTCCATTAGAACAATTTTGTTGACCACGAGCATGAAATTCACCACCCATTGTATGTGTTTTCCCAGATCCTGTTTGACCATAAGCAAAGCATGTGGCCATGCCACGCTGAAATATACATTCCACTAAAGGTTTCGCAGTATACCGATACACCTTTATGATATGTAAGCAAATAGAAATAGTTATTGACTCTAGTTACAAAATCTTATTTTTCTTCTTTTTATTAGATAAATCTTATTTTATACATATCAGGTCAATTGAACAGGTTTTGTGTTATTTACAAATTAAACATGTGAATAATCTAACAAAATAAAAATTTATCTAACCATGCAAAAATTTTGTTAGATCAATGATTCAAACAAATAATACGATCTATTGACTTTCAATTACATTAATCCAAAGAAACTAATGCCAGGGAAGTCCTACTCACTGCCTCATCGCCACTGGGGTGTTGTTTACGAAATTGAGGGGACGAAAATCGAATGTCCGGCGCTTTAGCCGGGTTGGTGGATGTGGAAGATTCACCTAGGAGAGTTGGAAAGCCGTCGTTTCAAACCAACGGTCCAACATAGGCTCCAGTATCCTGGAGGAACAAATGTCGTATGAACCAACCGTCGGTCACCGGCTAACATGGAACCGTATCTCCTTACGTTGTTCCACTACCTTGTGGATTAGACCTTCAAGTCGAAGGCTCCGGGATTAGCCCAATATGAAAACCACCTGCTTCGGACTGGGCACAAGGGCAGTATCCCAGCCTTCACATAAATAGAATGACTTATGTGGCGCATGTCTATTTGGTGCCTCCTTGTACCAATGTTCATGTGTTTAAATAAATAATAAAACAACTCAAATAAACAGTGATTATGCTAAACAATTTTACAAATATTCATTCGCAATTAACCAATGAGTAACTGAACGTAGACGTAAAGGCAAGGATTGCCGAAGCAACAACAGCATTCCTATAGTTGGAGAACATATGGAACTCAAAACAACTGTCAACCAATATCAGTCACAATCTTCAATACGAACATCAGAACAGCCATACTGTACGGAGCTGATACGTGGAGAACTACTACAATCATCAAAATGATGTAAGTATTTATAGACAGTTGTCCATACAAAATACTCAATATTCGTTGGCTGGATACCATCAGCAATAGCCTTCTGTGAGAGAGAGAACAAACCAGCTTCCAGTTGAAGAGGAAAGTAGGAAAAGACATGGAAATGGATAAGACACATATTGTGGAAATCATCAAACTGCATCACGAGGCAAGTGCTAACTTGGAATCCTAAAGGGAAACCGAAAAGTGGGAGACCAAAGAACACACTACGTCGGGAATCGGAAGCAGACATGGAAAATATAAATAGCAGCTGGAAGCACGTGGAAAGGACTGACCAGGACAGAATTGGATGGAAAGTGACGGTAGGCGGTTTATTCTCCTCCACGAGAGTAACAGGCGTAAGTAAATAGATGTATTATGTGAATTTGAAAGGGGTTAGTAGCTTACTCCATTTTAAGCATCAAAGATGACAGCATACAAGAAAATAAAAAGGTCTTTTTTACTAACGAATCAACTATTAAAAACATACGTAATGTGATAACAACAAGAAGAAAAATTATTCACACTTAAAATGTCATTAAAAATTTTTTCCTACGTGTTTGAGACTCCTATGTGAAGTGAGGCGTTTTGTGTAGCCACAAAAGCATTTACTTAGAGCATTTTTGGCAAAATAAATGGAGTCAGCGTTCATGTACACTATTTTGATAAGTTGACAACTAACTTTGAATTTCAGTTTCTTCTTTTTATCGATGCGGAAGCATAAGGGTTTACATAAGTGATTAAAAAGTAGTTGTAGGCAATCTAGTACACATGTGTTATCAGTAAATGATAGCTGATGATGACTAGGAACATCCGTGGTTTTTACAATGCTGTAGAAGGCAGTTCCCACTAACCAATTGAACGACTATTCTTTGTCCCTAGACACCTGAACCATTTATTGAAATCCCCAACTAATACAGTATCTGTCGAACGCGGTTTGATGATATTTGATTATAGATGGGATCCATTATTCAGTCCATTTAAGCTGCAATCTGTCGACGTGTAGACGAAAATTGTAAAAAGATATAATCTCCTACATGTTTAATTGATAGAATACGACTACCACTAAGGATGAGACGAATATGACAGTGGTTACTATTATCCAATGATTAGTCAATTTAAAAAATCATTCGTAAAGATTTTTGTTTTGTTATATTCACAAGTACAGAGGTTTTCTAACCAACTCCAAGATGATTATTAATAATACCAGTTGAAAATACTAAGAATACAGAACTTACAAGTTCATTATCTGATGTATCATCAAATGCATAATCAAAACGGAATTGTTGATTTTCAAGATATTTCGTTAGATCAACTTTAGTTTTTGGTTCATGGACAAGTACATGTTGTTTATTCGGGACTGTGATCACATCAATTTCACGACGGCCAAGTTCTATTAATATTATAAATGAAAAAAATTGAAATATTTTTTTTACAATCAACAGTACAATCAGTTTAAAAATAATAGTATTGTGTCTGGTACACAGAACTGTCGACATATTGACAGCCTAACTAACTCCAAGACTTCTATACTTTTCGATACTTGAACTCTGAGTACACTGTAGGTGGAAAATATGAATATGTAATATACAACATATATATGACAATATCTATGAAGTAAACAATGGCTGTGCTTCAGAACGTATCTTCGGTTGTATAAAATGAATGTGGAGGCTCAAAATATTAACAAACATTGAGTCATGAAGACAGACATACTTATAGTCACATTTTATACCTTAACAATCCCTCGCAATACTCATCATGTTAAACATGAATCGAAATGACTGATGATCGAACGATAATTCATGTGTTTTAAAGACAAAACAGTAAAACTTACCTTTTTTGTTCATAGGACGTTTACGTACACAAACACATATTTGATGATCTTCTATTAAATCTGTATTGGTTAAGGGTCTGTATTCCAATGTATTTCGATATTCACTAAAAATAATTAAAAAAACTTGTTGAGCTTAATTATCTACTTGACATCAAATTAACCATACTTTTCAATGTGCAATAAGGGTAAAATATTCAGCATTACCAAGTACTTTTCTGTTCATTTAGTGGGTGAACATAATTTTTATTGGGGATTTTATTTCAATGATCTAAAGCTGTGAACACATGTATTCTATGAACACACCACTGTAGAGTATCCCAACTTACCAGATGAAAAAAGCAAGTACAGTGGAAGCTAGACCTGGAAATGAAATCATCAATGAAAACTATGCTTATACTCAATATCTACCAAATAAATGAACTGAAAATGCTAGACACCTCATATGTAATAAACATTAGAAAATGGATGAGTTAAAAATTTGAGGACACATATATTATTACAATATTAAACAATGTAGAAAGTGAAATTGATATGAAGAATAGTACAACTAACGAAAATACAAGTGAACGTAGAAGATAAATAGATAGAGGGGCAAAAGGATATACGGATGAATGGTGGTGAATTAACAGCTAATCATTGTCAAATAGCTTTTCAGGATGTCAGAATTTGATCTCAAAAAGTTTAAAAATTACAGTCAAACTAATAAGCAGTACTTTTTGCTTTCAGTACTTCAATTAACTGAGAACTCATAATGAAACAATTTTGATGTGTGATATTATGATTATATGAAAGCAAAACGATGACATATCGACGGCCATTAGTAGGAAAAACACAAATACAACACAACACTTACTGAATCATCATATGAAACTCATAACTAGGATTGGTTGGGTCTAAATCAATTTGATCACGAACTGCTTTCTGGGCAGCACGTCGTTCTTCACGTCGCTGTTGTATTCGCTCGATTTCTTTCACACAATTAGACTTGCGTAGAGTTCCACTACCACCGGCGGCACCAGCGTTAATACCAGGAGCAGTAGTAGGTGAACTTGTATTCAGTGCAGACAATGTACTATTTACAATAGGTGCGCCTAAATTAGAATTTGCGCGACCTAAGTTTAAAGTAATAACAAAAAAACTTAAACAACTCTACACTGAGAGCATATTGACGTTAAACTGTTTTAATATGGAAAAGTAAACACATATGTACAAGATAGCTCCTAAAGATCAAATAGCATGCATACCGAATTCATATAGACAAGCGTAATATGAAAATTACAAGATGTGACGTGTACCGGCGCTAAACACTTGTTACTGGAACTTTAACAACCAAAATCAGATGGAGATTTTATAAGAAAGCTTGTTTCAAAAATTCAGTCAAACTCGGTCACTGGCCAATGTTATAAAATATTGATTCCTTGTCTATCAAAACCTTCAATTGTCGGTGAAATAACATAGCAAACTGAGTTTATTTAAGTCCCACTAAAAGTTCTTATTTTAAAAAAATTTATTAACTAATTGCGTTTTTCTTACTTATTTGAAAACATTTTGACTGAAATGATTTTGAAATTTCTTCTTACTTATTATTACGTCACATTTCAATCGCTAATTTCCCATCCCCTCTGGTAGTGGGCAATACATCAACACCTTGTATTTTCCCTTTACATTACAACTAGATTGGCGGTAACAAAATGTACTTCATAATCTTAGCGTCATAGTGTTCGTTAGGTGTTGGTTTTCTATAATAACCGATATGACAACTAATTTAAGCACAATATAGAAATAACTGAGGTAACCAAATTGGTGATTTTCTTTACGAGATTAATGCTTAAATTTCAATTGGATTAATTTTAGGAAAAAAACCCCTAAGTTAACTGACTAACTCCGCGCGGAGCCCCTCTGAGGTTACTGCCGACCCCAAGCTCGGAAAAGGAGGGTTGGGCATGGGGTTAGCGACCCCATCCCGTAGAAAACTAGCTAAAAAACGCTAACCAGAAAAAATAAATCAAGTTAACTGACTGGACATATAATATTGAGAAATTAGAACTCTCATTAATATACCAAGTATTATGCCATAATAGAGTGACTACGAGCTATTTATAAGATAAAAAATGACCAATCGAAAATGGGATTGAAGACAATCAAAGCGATTAATGACTCTTCATTTCATCCAGTAATTTTTACTGAGTATACAATTTGCACTGTGCATCAACGGTCATCAAAACTTAATCGTGCCAATGTTTGTAAATGTGCAAAAAAAAAATAATGAGAAGTTATAATCTGACATGTTCTTTTTATTCCAATGTTTCGTACCTATCAGACGGCGAGAAGCATCACCTGCAAAGCCACGGTTCCCATTGATTATTCCTGACTGAAGGTTATCTTCAAATACATCACCGATATCCTGTTCCATCCGTTCAGTGAGTAAAGTATTATTTTCAGGTTCCCGTAACATACTGGTCACATGATTATAATCATTGTGGTCCAGTTGAACAGATTCTGATGGTTCCAGATCTTCATCCATTGGCTCATCAGAAATTGCACGATGTTGATGTACATTATAACGGGATCCTAATTATATGAATGTAAAACGTAGGCGTAATATAAACAGATATAAAGGTCTGAACAAAATGAAATGTCATGTATGGATACCTGTATAGATTGTCATACTTCATAGATTATGAGGAAAAATTACTCGAGCTTTTTTTAAATGGATGCACTTGCTCTAGTGCGACTAGTTTTTACAGATGGTGATTACTTTGTGAACCTCAACCTTTTTCTAGCACACCCTAAAGCGAGCACGTCAGAGTAGTTGGCGGGTAGATACGTATGGCACATGTCCCAATGATCTCAGTCGATCAACATTTACAACTTCACTAACCGACTAAACGTCACTACCTAGTACTCCACATTTAACCTTAGCATTAGTTACTCGGGGATTTTACCTGGCGCTAGTAATGCGCCTAAAATACTAACCAATCTTTACTTTAAAAATTCATATTTTCTAACGGTAAAGTAAAAAATGAGTTGAAACTTATATGTTTTACATACTAATTAATAATCAGATACACATCTCACTTGTGTCATAAGTTAGCAGAAGCCAATTGAGCTTTTATTACCAGTCTCGTGATGTCATTAGTTACTAATTCGCAATCAACTAACACTTTATATTTTACTTAAATAAAAATGTTGATTAGTTGACTTGTCTGTTATTTAACCTGCACAAATTTATGAAACAATCTCAGCATAAACAATATCGACTTTATACATACTAAATAAATCTATATTTCGTAGTGATAATGTAAAATAATAATGAGAGTATGACTAATAGCATTGTGTAATAAATGTTTCATCTGTAGGTGTATAATATGTAGGCAACACAAATGGTAAAGATTCCTAAGAATGATAAAAAAAGAACAATATCTTCACAGGAATGATATACAATGGTAAAGAATGAAACATTACGATGTCAGTGAGATAGTATTTACATTTACTAATAATCTATGTCTAGTATTGATTGGATCACGTATATTTAAGCATGAAAAATAGGAAAGACTTATAGTGTAGATTTGTGTCGAATAAAATCTTGAATTCATGAGTCAAGTGAAACTAGACCACCATCAAAAACCTGGAAGCACTGGACGGTCGTTTCATCTTAGTATATGACTCAGCAGCGCGCATCCACGATCCCGACTTGCGAGATTCCAACCCAGGACCTATCAGTTTCGCGCGTGAACGCTTGACCTTTAGACCACTGAGCCGCTACCCAGCGGTGTTAATGTCTAACTTCAATTATAAATTTCCGAGACGACAATTTCGTGAAACATGTTATGGTTATACTTTACAACAGTAAATCCATGTTTATTTAGATGTGAGGTTGTAGGTTTAAACGTCTTTACTTCTAAATCAATTTGAGTAACAGTCTATAATTGAAAGATGAGTACATAGGTCTGTACTTGGTTAATGAGTTGCATCAATCAGTCAACTAATTACATGGAATTACCCAACAAACGAACTTTAAATTATTTACGAAATCATGCTTATAAGGGAAAAAACAAACCTTCATTGTGAGTGTGACTAATATCCACAGAATTATGTACCGGGAGAGGAGCTTGAGATCGAGAAGAGTTATTTGTACGGTCATCATAGGCAGATATTGTTGTAGAGCGAGTGGGAACGTGGCCAATAGGCACACGAGAAGACGGGACAGGAACGCGTGTTGATGGAGCAATCAAACGAGATTGATTACTGGATGAGTATTCTATTTGAGTGGCGTTAACTTTGTTACTAGATGGAGCGAGAACAGAAGCAGAAGCCGCCACAGGAACAGAATTTTGAGACTGCCTTATATCAGTAGGAAGATTGACTCCGGGACGGTGTGAGGAATTCGGAACTTCTTTAACTAAATTGTTTCGACTGATATCAGCAGTCCCGTAAACATTATCTACGATGGGCTAAAAATTTAATTTGCAGTTGATATGGAAAAAATTATATCATTTTACTACCAATTTAAAATTCGTAAAGGTATAAATTTATACTGAAATTGTAAAAATCAATACACCTGTACTTAAATTATTTGCTTAGCATAACTGCTAATGTATGGTCCCTCCTAATCCCACTATGATGCAACTATTAATGACTTCTCATTTTTTAAAATAACGAGGTTACACGTCATGCAATAGCTCGGCTACAGAATTGACAAGAACGAACCCAACAACATAAAACAGCTCACAACCGTACTTACATTTTACCTCGAACCAAACAATTAAGATGGGAGAAAGCAGGAGTAACTGCACGTGACAGCAAAAAAAGAGTAAATTTGTAGTGTAAAGGTGCTCTTGAGAATCGACCATCTATACTCTTGAAGAAACGAACTATAATCAAGATTACTTCCGATGTGTAAGATAGAATCAACTACCGACGGGTTACAATAACTTAAGTGAACTTATAGGTTTCATTACGAAAACGCTAATCACAAAGAAGTACGTAGATGTTTATTTTTTAGGGGCTTACAAACATCATTCAATTGTATTTCTTTCATTAAGATAGACACTATAAGAATTTGTAACCGAGAAAAATCTTTGCGTTATTAGATCTTAGTTCAGTGCCTGACACCTGATTTCAATAACATCGTTAAATGAAACTTGCTCACAGTGATACATACGTTATTGCTATTACATCCCATCCAGAAGCCGGTACTCACCAAAAATGAAAATCTTCAGGTTGATATCTGGCAGTTGCTGAAAACGGACGAGTTCGACTAATGCACGTAAGTACTACCGAAGTGCCTGAAGATTTCGACTAAGCAAATACTATGTCATTGGCTTTTAATGTTAGCAGAAAAGGTGTACTCAGTGCAAAACTTTAGATAAAAATGACCTACACATGAATATCTTAAATTCGGGTTCAATTGAAGTATTGCTTCCAATTCTATCTGAACAAAGAAAAAAATGAAACCAAGAAATTGAAAGACTAAAAATTATTCACATAATCAATTTTACTAACAATAATAAGATGAAGGACTGAGAAGGTAATCACTAGTGTGGCTTTTTACTTCTACATAGTGCAAATAACATATTTATATATGCCTAAACGGCTACACAGGATTCCGTCATCCTTTTCAATATGATCGTTTTTCATGCCAGATTTTTGGGTGATTTTATACACTACAAAACTAAATTAGCTCGTTATTGGCATCAGCAAAGCAGACTGTAGACATTTTTAAAGCAATATCAACGTTATCTTACTAGCAATCGATAGGTGACATTTAATCCCCGTGTTTGCGAATCAGCATATATACAAGTGGTCATTTGTTATTGAATCTAAATAGATTAGTAAACAGATAGCTAAACTCTTAGATTACTACCCTCACTAGAAAACGTTTTGAACTTGCCCTGATTTACTTAAATTAAAATCATTCTCAGATTAACCTATTACTAGGATTACGGTTAGTAAGTCTTAGAACTATGTCAAAGTCCATAAATCTTAAAAGACTCACTATCGGTGGGCTTAGAATTTAAGCAGAGATCTTAGACTTGCAAAATCGTCAGTGAAATAAATGTAAATATAATCATGACTAGTGGCTCGAGATTGAATGGGATGATTTGGAATCCGTCACAATGGTCCAGTTCCATTTACTTGTTATCTTGATCTCGCTTTAAATTCAAGTATTCTTTCATACATACCTTTACATCATCTTTTCGAATTAAATTCTCACTGCTTATTCGTCCTCATTTCCGCTGCTACTAAATTATTTTGACCTCTTGTTATTCGTTCTGTTCACTTCATTGATTAGTGCTAACATGGTACAGTAAATTAGGGCAACACGCACATATACCAAGCCATGCTGATGTGTACGTTAACAATGACCCACTGACTGACCAGTAATATTCGTCATTGATTATATACTTAGAAATACAGGAAATTAAGAACATGTAAACAGCTATTTTCAACTAATCAATTCTGGTTATAAAAGTTTGTTGCATCACTGTCTGTTTAAGAACAGATAACAGAGTTAACTGCAATGTCAAAATAGAACACCAGATCAGTTAATGCCGTACTAACCTCCTTTCCTTTAGCTTCTCCTTTTTCATACCACTCTACTGTCACACTTTTCGTGTTGGGATTAATACCACTCACAATAGCCGAATGTACACGACCTAGGAACAAAAGTCATGAAAACAATACCTGTAAAAAAACTTTACGCATGAGGTTTAGACCAAAAAATATACATGACTCGTGAAAATTATGTACAATGTAGAAAAATAACAACGCATGATAATTCATTGGCCAACGCATTTTTTAGATGATAAACTGGATCGAATCTCAAATTTAACTTCATTACGAATAGCCAGCTAGGTTGACTACGACACACGTCATGATGCACTTGAACTACCAAAATTTTTGAAGGAATAATACTTAATTGATGGTTATTCACCGAGTTAGTCCATAAAACTAGTATGCTGTACATTACCTCCATTTATCATATGTACGTAGAAAACCCTTGTCTCACCACTACTCGCTTTCAGTTATGAATGAAACCAGAACAATGAGGCCGATTAAGAACTCATTTAATTTTGTGGTTTCTCCTCAGGTGTTCAAATCCATGTTTTTATAATATAACACTAGGTAACAAACACTAGCCACAAGTGTTGTCCTAGCTTTATTAAAATTCATAAAGATAATTAAATGTATGTTTGAGCTAAGTTAAGATTTGGTGAGATGTAGCTTACCGAGTGAACACAAGCCTGCACAATGGATAACTGGAGGACCTTGAAAGCCAGTGGTACTACAGACCGAAACCACTTTTCTGAATATAAATAATACTGAGAACATGATGGGTGTTATGCACTCGGTACTTGGTTAGAGACAACACTCAGTTGTATAATCTGGGCATAATTTAAACCTGAGACCCGTAAGCTGGAAACAGATTGCTCCACCAACATGGAGTACCAACTTACAAACTTGGAGTAGGGAATTATCTCCCAGGACCTACGGAAAACACTCCAACGAGAATGTAAAGACCACTGGACAACCGACTTTATCATTTTGGCAATGCAGTACCTCTACTACTAATAACTCAAAAAAATACTGCTTAACATGTCACCAGGAAATTTATTTGGAATCTTTCAACAGACTTAGAAGTAATATATATCTTGGAATCAATGAAGCATTACTTCGAAAACTATTTAGCACATTCTATACTCATATAGTTCTAGATTTTTTAGGGCTAGATATTCAAACATCTTAGACATTTACACACTACTTTACGAATTTTGAAGATACTGGACATACAATCCTCTTGTTTCGACAGTCAAAACTGTTTAATATATCCGATATGGACGAAGTATTTATGGGCACAATTTCTCACACTAGTCAGACTTGATGTACTCACCATCTGTTCTCTGTATATCTACATTTATCCCAACAGCTAGAATGCTACCATCATAATCCGCCATATTTCATTGGTGCATAAGACCACAAGAATCAGGACACCCTCTCAGATCCATTCAAACTTGAGCTAAGTTACGCAAAGTCCAGATCAGTACAACAAGACACGATGCCATGGTGACTACGTAGTAAGTACTGGAAATACACTTTATTGTTGATTGTCTGAAAAATGCCTTCGAAAAAGCTTAAAGTTATGGTCTCAGTTACAAAATCTAACAATAGCGCGACTTTTGAAGCTAGTGGTTGTAACAATGTATGCTTTTATAGGCTCATGACCTAGTGACCTGGCTGGTTATTTTACTATACTTTTGAATAGGAATCATGTATCTTTATCTTTAGACGTGATATTTCTTCAGCACTACGAATAATTTCACAGTAGAGAGAGATCAAAGTTCTTGACTCATTGGTACTCTGTACATGCATCTTTAGGTGGCAAAAATCCTGACCGGTAATTGCCATCATCTGTCTGCATAGATTTCAAGACAATTTTTCTCCAGGTTATTATGTTAGACGGGTTCAGCGCTAAGTTTCGGTGGAAAAAATCCGAGACTTCTCATAGGATCGTAGCCTCAAGTTTACAATACTTAAAGTCACTTCCATACCTCAAATCTAGTGTGTGATTACAAAAATATAACCAAATAAATGGAAACGAAGACGTCTCATCAGTGGTGGCGATGGCTTCAAGTTCTTTGGAAAATGTGGCTGATGCACTATATCTGACGTCGCTGTCCTCCAGATGGCAGTAGCCTGTGCTTGTTAATATAATTCCTCACTAATGTCACATTCATTCTGCACTGTCACCAAGAAAGCTTTACGTCCCAAATGCCACAAGAATGAAATTCATGTCAGGTATTAACCACGAGGTTTGACTTTAGATGTAAGCTCGAAGGTCACGCTATTCTCGTCCAGCTTGAGTATACCTCAACCATCCAAAAAGATCACCTGCGCTGGCAAGCAAGCGAAGTTTTCTCTCGTGAGATGTTTGATGGATACATTCGCACTTATCAATAATGTTGTGGGAAATTTTGTCACTGAAACCCATTATACTGATTTCTGAACCGCATCCTGTAATCCCAGATTGCACTTCGACTCAAGAAGTAGAAGAAAAGAAATTGACTTTGTTGGAGACAATGTGTTGAAGACAATGTGTTGGATCCTCATATGCCCAAGTTACAAATAATTTGGCTGTATTTAAAACAGATTGAACGGAGAACGCAGTAAAATTGACCAGATAGTGAGGATAAATGCCATTTAGTTCAAAGTTATCAGAGTTTGAATCTTCTGAGATATTGTTATCAATTTTATTGAGAGGCTCATTTGTAGATAACGGAACATTAAGGTAATCAGCATCTATAGAAATTGTATTAGGTTTCTAATCATCATTTGATGCATCTGACATATTTTCTGGTATAAGAGAATCTCGATAATAAGAATCGTCAGAAACTGCTGTCGCTGAATGATGAGATCCATTTGGAGCAGCTGCATTCAGTGTACTCCTCAACTTGTTATCTTTTTGTTTTTGGGGGGATACTGCAATAATTTCATGAGCGTTTAATAAGACATCGTCTTTCTGTGAGCTGGACAATCCAGTGTTTGTACATGGTGTTTCGGGGACAATGAGATTTGAACCCATGACAGGACATGTCTTTGAAATAAACATTTCTGGATCACTGGGCGCATCATGAATGACTACCATTTCGTTTGAAGTACGGTTAATCGAGGATTCGTGGAGGCTGAGATCATTTTCCAGCTCAGTGTGCAATTGAGAAATCAATCCATCCACTTCCGTCGCATCTCCAGTGCATGAGTGATTTAACAGCTGCGTGCGTAAATTGACTAAGAACTCCAAATGTCGCTCAAATGGCAGCTGTTATCGATCGGAAGGGAGAGTCGTTTTTTTTAATCAGCATCGGTGATGAAAATTACTGTATGATTAATGACCAATGTCGTTGAGGGACACTGATGACAAATCTGGATGCTGAAGGCTGACTTTGGATTGTATGTATTTTTACCCCGTCGCCAAATTGTTAGGTTTGAAGCTATCACGAGTTCACTTAACCTGCGAACGAGAAACAAGACTCGGTAACCAAAAACTAGCAAGCTAACTACTGATGCGTCCCAGCTCCGCTAACTAGAGGGAGAAGTCCAAGGTTGGAATGGGAAGCATATTCTGTAAAACAGCCAGAACCTAACAGACTTAAAGGTTAGATATGTACAAAGGCTGATTCAACTTATGTAGTTTTATTCGGCATCGGTGTTTGAGAGCTGTCTCTAAGCGTGGGAAATGTGGCAGCGATATAGTTACTTAGTCACTCAAGAATGTGACGTGGTCCTTCATTATTCTAAACCCTATCGAAGGTTTAATGTTATTCCACAGCCACGATAAGTTTATTTACAATACGGCACGAGCAATATGTACTGCCTGAATAACTCATTTAAAGAATTTGCTAGCAGAAGGGGAATTAGATTGCCTGTCTCTCTTGGGCCCTAATCCCTATGCTAGCGGTATTAAAAGTACTGATGAAGTCTATTATGCGCTACCAACCTCGAGACGATTCAGACCACGTCAACACCAAGTGCTTCTACTCAATTTAAAACGGTTACGATTGCAACTAATTGCAAACAATTAGGCCACCAATTTTATCTTTATGTAACGGTCAGTATGAGATATAATACGAAGCTAATTGATTGAAATAAACTACCAGCGAATGTATATAAATGGAAGAAATTTCCGCGGATAATTGCTTCTCCATTGGTTACAGGAATTATATTTACTATTTCTTTTTGCTGAACAACTGTCATTCACGTATGTACATAACCTCTGGACCACTTGCTTCCTAGCGTACTCAAAACTTGCGCGATAAGGGATAGGCATAGTTTTTCTTCTATGCTTATTGAACAAGATTATACGCGTAGTAGATGTAACGAATGAAAATTTGACACTGTTGTAGAGGCCCTGTATCTGACTTCAGTAATATCGTATGATTGACTGTTATTGAAACATACATATCGTCAATCCTCGTATAAAATTATCGCGTCAATGTATAACGGAATTAAAGAATTCAAATGCGATAATGGATTTTGGATACATATATTTTGTACACTCGTTGATCTGGACAGACAAGAAGACGGATGAAGCAAAGGACGCGAAGAGAAGAGAGGGGGAGAAACGAAACGGCGTGCAGTTGAGAGAGCACGTAAGCCAACTCGATTTAACCAATCATCAATCGATCTGTAATCAAACAAAAATAAGCTGCAGACATGTGATTAGTAAGACAAGATTTGCACACAAATACGCTTATATAAAAGCAGTCAAGGTTGACAAGCAAATAGTAGACAAGGTCAAAACGTGACTCAAGTAGAATGAACAGATTAGCCTGTCCGTAATCTAGAATAAGCTATGTGAGCTTAACACAGTAACAGACACTACGTTATTACAAGCCTCGTACAACAGAGTAGAGAAAGCTGTTGAGAACGAAATTGGCATTCTGGTGTTTTTTGTTTGTATGAAAATATTGAAACTTCATGTAATCTCGTTTATCCATTAATTCCGGTCATCCTTGTTTGCGTTGTGCTTAGTTCATCGGAACCTTTTGTTTCACGATTGAGGACAAGCGTTGAAGTAAATACCTAGCAGAGTGACTATTTTTTACTGTACCACTCAACTTAAGAACCTTTCTAGTTGATTCTATACCATTTATACAATGTTTGTGCAAGTATTTGTGGCTCGTGGCTGTACCAGGAAACTGAGTCCTGAGAAGTGCCATTGCATATCAACAGGAGATACAAGAACCACAGGAACAGTCTTCTGCAAACCTTGTATTGGCTGTTCTCAGCCCATCAACTACAAGTTACCCATGAAAGTCATATGTTTTGGGAAATAGAAAGACCTTATTACACAACGCTAAAGACATTGGCAATACTTAGGCCTCCGAGGATAGGTTGCGAGTCCGTAAACTTGTAGTACATTCATCATTCTAAGCTCAATGTGTATGCAATATCTTGCATGTTTGTATTCATTTGAGAGGTAGACACTGCATATAAGAGCATAATTTGCAGTAGAAATTTCATTTTCATCCTCAACTTTCTATTTATTTGTTTTTTTCTCCCGGAATTTTAAGTTTTAAGTTACCGAAATGAAGTACCGAAAGGGAACTACACTCTTATCTGCAGCGATGATACACTAAATAAAGGTAAAATGTTCGAGAACGCTTGATATTGAACTTTTTATTGAGCACTGAGCGAGGATCCATATACAGTTTTGCATCAACTTACTCATCGCTCCTTAAGAGGTTAGCTTGCAATTTAAATAGTTGTCAGCCAGGTCTTATAAGCCAGTCTGGTCAAGTTGGTTCTAAATTACAGATTAATACTAGATTGTGAGTCCCTGATTATTGAGACAAAACGAACAACAGGGTAGGATACATGAATTTAACGGACAATGATTATTAATTAACTTAAAACGAATAAAAGCCATATATACAAATAGTTTTCCCACAACTACACTGCTATAAAAGCTGCCTGGTGACAAATAATTATTAGTCAGTATCAGATGGTAGTTGGAGGTAGTCAACAGGAAACCCTGGACCCGGGTTTCGTGCTACTTGGCACTCGTCAGCAATGTGTACCTGTAATCTTGAGGGAACTGGTGCTCCCTGGCGGATTCGATCTCGTGTCACCCAACTTCACAGTCAGAGACGTTACCACTGAGCCATCCGAGCCGTGACTAACCTCCTATAGGACTGAGATGTAATCACAATTGATTAATCACTGGGTGGTGATCAATGTCATGCGTGTCTAGTCCTTATTAGTGCAGATCGAATGCTACCGATCCTGTTGACTACCTCCAACTACCATCTAATCTCAGTACATAGTGCCCGCAGTGTCGATTCACCTAGACTGGTGGCCACATTGCAACATGATCGATAGCATTCGATCTGCACTAATAAGGACTAGACAAGCATGACAATGATCACCACCCAGTGATCAATCAATTGTGATTAGTCAA